TATTGGTGATGCAACCCGGCAGTGGGCTGCTGTTGCAAGCACAATTGCTGCCACAGAGAATAAAGATTGTCTTGATCTTTTTATTCAATTAGATGGACTCATGTTTGTTGATAGATGGCTAAAAGATGCCAAAAACTTAGGTAAAGATACAAATGAGAACTTTGTAGAAGAGTCAATAACTGCTCTGTTACGAGCACTTGAAAAGCTGCATATACACAATAAGAGGTCATTATCTTCAGGGATCTGGAGTACTGTGAAGAGTCTTCTTAGCCACAAAAGCTCAACAGTTCAGGATCAAGCGAGACTGCTGTTTGATAGCTGGAAGGAGGATGGTGATGCAGTTCAAGTTGATGTTGTGAATGCTGGGGTTCTACCAGATGATGGGAGTTCTAAGATTTTGGAAGAAGATTTTAAGCCATCTGCTTTGAATGTTACTTCAGAAGTAGGTGATCACAGAGAAAATCACCCATCAGGACCTACCCAAAATGATGTATTGCCATTAAGGACTTCTGGCGATCTTCTACCAGAAAGTGCTGATACTTTACCCATACAACCTTGTAACAAACAGTCTCCCGCAACCCACAAACTTTTAGACAGCAATTACATCAAAGATGGATCTCCAGATACATTGGCCTCTGCTGTTGTGTTCAACCCTATTCAAGAAAATCCTATAAAAGATGAATCCTCTATATGTTCTGTGGGAGGGATCACTTCAATTGGAATTTCTATTTTTCCAGTAGCAAAACTGAGCAGTGTTGATGAACAGTCCGATGGTCCAAAATTGAATGAGTTGTCAAAAAATGAAAATCAGGACCACAAAGTCAACAGTTCCCCGAAGAAGTTGGGTGTGACAGACATCTCTTCAGGGTCTGGTCTATTGGAACCTGGGAGTGTTTATTCAGGTGCTGATGGAGCTACTTTGCAGGATGTGGCAACTGATTCTGCTTTGGAAAAACATGCCAATCTCGACAATTCTTGTCAAAAGTTTACTGCTCTTGGCAGTGAAGGGACAACTGCATCTGATCCAAAGGGTGTGGTGGATGATACAAGATCTGTCAATCATTGCAGTACTACAGTTCAAGAGGGTGAATGCTGTTCAAACACTCCTCAAGACTCGTCTGAGAATGGTAGTATTTCAGGAAAACTTGAAGATTTGGAGACTTCTTCCAAGATGGCTTTTGATGAAGATAAGGAGCATTCCAGCGATGAAGATGAGGAATTGACAATTGCTAATGAGTATCCTAAACCAGCAATTGATGCCAAAAGTCCTGACACATTTGATAAAAGAAGGTCTGATATTGAACTTGAGTATGGGTTGGTTGATGCTCTAGAAGTTGCTCGACGGGTAGCCCAAGAATATGAAAGAGAAGAACCGGACTGCAGTTCATCTTCGGAGAAAAATGCGGAAGGTGGACTCAGACAGGCCAATAGCCCAGACTCTATAAATGCAGAACAGGACTTACCTGTTTCGCTAAAGGAGGCGCCAACGGAACAAAGTCATTCTGCAGAGGCAAATCTGAGAGGGAGGACCATGTGGTCAATTCAGAAAATCCAGGGCACTGCTCCACATAGTCATTCGCCAGAGGCGAATCCTGACATGGAGTCCTCTCAGGTAACTGAAGCAGCTCAAGAACCAGAAGTTAACCCAGAGAAGGGTCTTTGTAGTTTTGACCTAAATCAGGAAGTGTGTTCTGATGAAATGGATCGCCCAGTAAATCCTGTCTCTACGCCAATTCCTGTTTCAAGACCAGTAGCAGCTGCTAGTTTACCTGGAGCCCGTTTGCAGTTTGAAGGGGCTATTGGGTGGATAGGATCTGCTCCAAATAGTGCTTTTCGCCGAGCTTCTCCTCGCAGACTCTCAGATGGCGATAAGAATCTTACAGGGGCCACCAGTGATAGCTCAAAGCAGAGGCAGGATTACCTCGACATTGATCTGAATGTGGCTGAGGGTGGTGATGATTTAGGAAAACAAATTCCAGTGTCATCTGGCCTTCCTTCTGGGGAATCTTCAGTGGAAGTGAATCAGAATAGATCAGGGAGGCCCCATTTGGATCTGAATCGTATTGATGACGATGCTGATGCCTTACCATCGGATTCAAGGGTGGAAGGACAGTTCTTGTTCAACCGTGTTGGCCGTCGCAGCCCATCTCCTGCTTCATCATCTTCATCAATGCAGCCTTCTATGAGGAATTTTGATTTGAATGACAGGCCATATTTTCATAATGATTCTGTAGATCATGGGCCAGGTAAGTCTTTTCAAAATGCAAATGCATATGGATGGCCTAAACAGGATGCTTCAGTTATTTCTATCATGGGTACCAGAGTCCTGATAAACAGAAAAGATGCTTCCCAGAATCTGTCCCTGGCAAACGGCAAGGCTATTGAGACCGCAACAGAAGCTACCATGGCGAGAACTAGAAGCTTTATGGACATGGGTTTAACAGTCCCTTACTCTCACCCTCCTGTTTTCGGCTACAATGGATTGGCAACTGGGCCTGCCATGTCGTTCTCCTCAGCCATGTATGGACCTGGTGGCACAATCCCCTACATGGTGGATTCTAGAGGAGCCCCGGTTGTACCGCAAATTATGGCCTCTCCGTCAGCTGTTCCTCCTCAGTTCTCTCAGTCACCGTTCATCATGAATTTGACTGGTGCGCAACCAGGTCTAAATGGTGTGATAAATGGTGCTGGGCCCTTGCGCCCCAGTTTTGATCTGAACTCGGGCTTCATGGTTGAGGGAGGCAATAGGGACTCGGTGGGCCTGAGGCAGCATTTCATTCACGGTCAGGGAAGGTCTATGGAGGATCATTTGAGGACTAACTCACAACCCCCTTCAAGTTCTACGGTTGGTGGGAAAAGGAAGGAACCAGATGGCGGGTGGGAACCATACCCGTATAGCTACAGACAACAGCAGCAGCAGCAGCAGCAACCTCCGCCGTGGAGATAGAAGTCTTTAACTACTCCCCGACATCTGTTTGGATCAGTTTCATACATCCTTCTAAGTAGATTGATATACGCGATCCAGAAGTGGGTGAGCTCATTTGCTTTAGTAGAAACCGAATAAAAGTTGGAGGGAGTTTTATCAAGGTAACATTATATTAATGTGATTAATTTCTGGAGGACAAAATTAGGTTCTTGTTTTTAATTTATTGGTTTTTTGTTTCTCTTTTCTCTTCTCTCTTTTAAGTGTTCCATAGAGGACAGTGCAGTGCAAAACATAGGAGACTTTTGGTACGGTGTAGCTGTAATTTCTCTTCCATTCCATGTATATCACACAAATTATAGGAACAAATCCCTACATTATTTATTTGGGTCGTGCGCTGTTCACGCTTATTTTTTACTTTTTACACACCTCTTTTAATTTTTTGCCGTTGGATTGGATGATTGAAAAAGATCAATGGCAAAAAATTAATAAGGGTGTGTGAGAAGTAAAAATGAGCGGGTGAATAGTGTTATCCTTTAATTTAGTCGGGTCCTGTTACCTGCGTGTTGAGCAAAAGAGTCTACTTATTAAGGGAAACAAAAGGAGGAAAAGTATATTTGCATTCAACAGAAAGTGCATGTCCAGCCGACGAAACTTGGCCCAATATGGTCAGGTTTTCAGGTACATGCCCGGTACTCTGTAGCTTTGAATTATGTTCTGAGCCCGGCTTGTATTTTAATTAATTTGTTTAGTAATCAAGTTTTATTTTTAATACAACAATATTATGTACTTAATTTGAGACACCATGGACTGCCATAATAAATTAGTACTCACGAGATTCAAACTTTTTTTTTTTAACAGACAATATTATCCATATTAAAGGATAAAGACCGATTGTTTGTCAATCTCCTAACAAATCATTGTGTTAATATTTCATGGTTTGTAATCAGTTCTGCAAATTTTTCAAAAGCCATCATAAAACCATTAGAAAATCCATCATAAAACCATCTTTTTTTTAATTTTTTAGAATTTTCAAAATCCTTCATAAAACCACCTTTTTTATATTTTATATTTTATAGAATTTCCACCGCACCTCTAGCTTTTTAAATTTCATTTCGATCGGAAGCAACGTAACGTATGTAAAGTAAGGCAAGGGTCAACTCTTGATAGATTCAATTCGCAAACTCTCTCGCCTGAAGTTTGCAACAAGCCTTTCACACACCTCAGTCCAAGTCCATTTACGCTCTAACTGTTGCAAGTGTTTTCGAAGCTCTGGGGTCAGGTTCACGCCACAGCACCGCAGCTATGTCTTGAGTATCAGCGGACGCTTAGAAAATACATATCGAACAACGTCAAATGTGCCAGAAAGGCGTACGAGTTCATGAAAAAAACAAGGCCCAAGGTAGCAGTTACGCTGCAGATTTCGGCCTACCAAAGTCAGCCCCGACGATTGAAAAAACAAGGAACTAATGATCAACAAGTTTCAAAACACAGGCAAGTCGCGATCGAATTGGAAGGTTCACCCTAAAACGACCTCTTTCAACAATTTGTTCAAAATCATAGGGAATCTGGATCGCACACACTACTCAAGCTGTACAGGGAACAAAGACTTACCGTACATACATGTAACAAGTAATTCTACAACTGCGAACAGAAATGTTGAGCAAGTTTACTGGTATTGCTACCACTCTAACCTCAACCACTGCATCATCATATAAATGCAAAACGTCTAGGTAGAACACATACAACTCACAAGTCTTGCAATTCATAATGTAATTCTTATGTATAACTCTGTAAAGAAGACATGAGTTCCCACCACCGGAAACTCTCACGAATGGAGGACACATATCAAAGCATCATATGTTGGTCTAGACTCTGGACCATACATTGACAGAGCAAACGAGGGACATGTAAGGTTATAAAGTGGAAGGACGCAATGAACAAGTAACGCATCCGATGGGCTAACAAGAAATGAGGTGCATTACCATGATTTGCTTCTACACAATATATTCATGGAACCATGGAAGACACGAAGGTTTAAACAAGATATTGTGTACCATGTGAGAAGACAGCGGAATCAAGCACGAGCAAACACCAACAGAAATTTGAGTTCAAATTATTATTTACATCCAGAAGAAAATGGAAAAACATGAAAACAGATTTCAATTTCTTCTTCGAATCAACTACTAAGCTAATAATAAGCAAACAAAAGCATATAAATCAATTACAAATGCAACAAGGAAATGAGAGGAATGAAGGAGGTATGAGAATTGCAGAAATGGTGATACCGATTTCAATCAATGAGAGATTGAATCATCTCCGCCAGAACTGGAAGCTCCAGCGGCACTAACAGTCACAGCTCGCTTCTTCCTCTCCTCCTCGTATTCTGGATCATCGGTTGGCAGCTCAAACCGGCAAACCGGGCAAGTATTCCTGGAACTCAGCCAAGGAACAATGCAATCGCCATGGTAACCATGCCCACATGGCAGCTTCTTCGATATTTCACCAACATTCACCATATCCTTGCATATGGCGCACACCACGGCCTCATCCTCTGAGGCAATCTTGGCCGACGGTAACTCCGAAACGGCATTCTTCGACGCCGGTGGAGCCCCTCTCCTTCCAGAAGTATCGCTCTCAGCCAAGTTCTGCAGCAAAGCCTCATAGCCGGCTGCATCCACGTAATCCTCAGGATTGCCCATGTACCGGTCCGATTCGGGCATTTCGAGCCGGAATTCGATCGAGTTGTCCTCCAGCCCCATCAAAATCTCGGCCCAATCTAGAATCCGGTTCCTCCCGCTGCTCGCTTGGGTCGCAATGTCTCGGATGCGGAGACGAAGCACGTCGCGACGACGTCGTCGCATGTCTTCTTCGTCTCTCTCTTGCTCATCTTCCTGGTTCTCTTCGTCTCCATCCTCGTTATCCGATCTATCTTCTTCCTCTTCCTCCTCCTCCTCTACTTCCTGTCCGGCTTCTTCGTTACCCTCGCCGTCGTGGTTGCGAAACTCGACACTGTGCTCATCTTCGTCCTCGTCCTCGTCGTTGTCCCACCCGTCCATCTCAATCCTGAAGAAATCGTCATCAGGCAAGGGGTTTTGAGGCAGCGACGGGGGCTCACCCTCCTCACGCGACGCCTGAGCGATTAGCCGCAGCACCTGGAGAAATGGAGAGCCTAGAGTCGGGTCGTCGACCTGATCGGACGATCGGGAAGGAGGATCCCACTGCGGATACGAGGCGGCCGGGATGGATTCGACGAAACCGTTCTTGCACTCGTGGCAGACGATATCCGGGAGATTCGCCACGGTTTCAATGGAGACGCGTTTGTTGCAGTGGTAGCACCAGTACTCCATAGTCTCCGTCTCGGCCTCTGACGCAGATCGCGGCGGCGGCGGCGTCTGGGATGGAGTTTCAGCCATAGGGTTTCTGTTTGGAATTAGAGGTCCGATACGGCCGAGAAAGACCAAAAGAAAGAAGGAAGGAGCGGGGAAGTTGGGTGGGGGCTGCAGATTGGATTCTTGAGGACCTGTGCGCCGAGATTGTCAATTGTGTGACGTGGACTGCTTTGGTGCTGCGAGGTGGTTTTTTCCCATGAATTTTGACCCGTTGGATGACACTTACAATTTGTTGATCTGTCGTGGAGGAGCCAATCAACGGTGGATGTGTATTAGCTTAGAAAGTTGTTGGTGATGCAGTAATGCAATAATTAAATAAATAATAGGGTTTTCTTTTTCTCTTTTCTCGTAGAGAGGGATTTGTCAATTGCTAAAGAAATTTGTTATTGGCACTCCAAATTTCTCATTCTACATTTCAAACTTTCTATATTTATAAAGAAAAATACACTTGTGAAGAGTGTAGAATGAGATTTTTGAAGTGCCAATAACACTTTCCTAACTAAATACATAAGAAAAGTTTTATTTGCGACTAAAACACAGTATATTATATAAAAACTATAACTGATAATAGAGGGAAAAAAATTAAGAAGAATGCTAAAGCAAATGTGAGGTATTGGTCCTAAACATTTTAAAGTATTTTATTTGTGTGTTTAAACAAATTTTTTGGATGAAATTCTAGCAGTGTTATTCGAAAAAATATTGGTGCACATGATGACACGTACGTTTTAGTGATTAATACTCACCGTCTATTTTTTAGTACTTTAAAATGTAAACAATTTTAAGGTTACAAGCCCTTCCACTATTGAAATTAAGTTTAGAGCGTTATTCAGCATTGTACTTGAAATTTTGAGTTAAATTTCGAAAGTCATTTATATAAAAATAAAAATAAAAACTATTATGGCACTCAAATCATTGAGTGTAAAATAAATAAAGAATTTGTTGTATCTAAATAGAAAAGATTTCTATAAATCGTACAACTCGGATAGTGACACATTTGCATGAGCTTGTAGCTCAATTAATGACATTACTCACCATTTCAAAAAAGAAAAAAGTCTTTATGCTCGAAATCTCTGGTCTGCTTTTCCTTCTCACGTCGCCAACATTGCTTTATGTTAAGAAAAGATAAAGTCACATATTCATCAACAAGCTATGTTTAGTTAGATTCAATGTCTTCGACATCCCAAGTTAAAACATCCTTCTTGAATGGTCACTTTCACCAAGAAATGAGAGTGACCTATAATACTTCATGATTAATCGGTTGACTATCCTTCACTGTAAATCTTTAAACAACAGCCATTTCAACAAAATAGTATTTGGCATTGCCTCCTCTTAATATTTAACAATTTAAACAATTAGCGCTATCGTTTGTTTAAAAAAAAACCAACTAATGTACCTTTGTTTGACACCGATTGAACTTTAATTAATCAAGGGCAAATTACGGTTTGATCCCTTGAATTGAAATTGATCCCCTGAACTTTTTTTTATATATATAAATTTACTCCCTAAACTATTTAAAATCAGTCAATTAACCCATTGCCTTTAGATTGCGGAATCAATTCCGTCAAATTTAAGAGGTAAATTAGTCACTTCATCATTAATTGTTACTTGTCAGCTATAACCACCAATAAAATTTTGACAAATGGGCTCAAAATAATTCAAAAATATATAGCATAATGAGAAAACATAAAAAAAATCAAACGTTTACATAACGGACCATCTCACATTGTGATTACACATTACTTTATTTTCACATGTCATAATTACATTGTTGGTTATAGTTGCTAAGTAAGAATTGATGAAGGAAATACTACTTTTCCTTCGAATTTGATGAAAAAGTGGATGAAATCTACCAACAAGAGGTTAATTGGCTTATTTCAAATAGTTCAGGAGATTAATTTACTAAAAAAATAATTCAATTAGTCAATTTCAACTGAAGTAATAATTCAAAATGTCAAATGTAGTTACTCATTAATTGAGGCCAATATTTATTTATAACACAAAATTTGCAAAATATCATCATTTAGTCCGGATTAATTATTATTTATTTACAATCTCCACAAAATAATACAACCATATCCCTCGCTCCATCCAAAAAGGAAACCTCTATTTATTGGAGTTCGAATTTACTAGATATACTGCAGGTAAACACCAACGAGCAAGGGAGAGAGAGAATTTACCCACTTCAATATTATTTTTTTTTATCTTTTACTCCCTGCTATTTGTCAAATTTACGAAAAGCCACCACAACTGAGTTGTTGAGGAAGCCTCAACCGGACATCAGAAGCCGACGATCGCACGGCCACGCCGTGCCAGCAAATACCACCCTTGCACGTCTCATGAGCAACTGGAGGATTGTTGTCGCCGGGAACTGCATACGTGGGTTTGCGGGAGACGTCCCACGTCAGAGTCAGGAACAGAATAAGGCACACCACGGCGGTGGAGAGGATTAACACAAAGGCACCGCCGAAGCTCTGCCCAATCGCCACCCCGTACCCCTTGATCGCCACAATGACTGCCACGTAAATCATCGTCAAGTTCCTAACCACCGCGTCGGAAACCGCCATCTGCTGGGTCTGGGTGGGGCTTTGAGAATTTGAGAGACACCGATCAACTTTGCTCTTTGACCTCTCTTTGGCAAGTCTAGGGTGGCGTGCCGGCTATTTAAAAGAAAATTAAAGGGGCCCACAATTATGTGATTTAATCAAAAGGTTGCTTGTATTAACCGCAAATCTGGACAAGTTAGAACGAAAATTGCTAAATATCATTATCGCGTGTACAGGCCAATTGATCAAAACATTGCACTTTAGTATTAGTTAGTAGTCTCAGCTCAGTGAGTATTTACTTTCGTTGTGAACTGTTGGCCGTCTTAATACTCAAACTCGATAATTATTTATTGAGAAATAATAACCAGTCACGTACAATTGTATGTCAAGTTAATTAAATACGACATTGCATCGCCTTCTAAACCTCATTACTCTTGTTAAGAATTAAGAATAAGTTGTAATTAAATATATGTCATATTAATTAATTAAGATATTACGCTGCCTTCTAACGTTTGAATTTAATCATTTATTCTGTTAATTTGAACAATTTAAATCAGAAAACAGAATCTTGATGTTTCTCAGCTGCCATCTGATATTGTTGTCTTGGTGGAAAAGGCTCAATCTTGAGCTTATCTTCAGTTTCAGACATTTCTTGCAAGGAGAATGGAGATAATGCCCGCCAATTTTGCTGTCGCACACCAGCCGATTTTGTTTTCCATTGGATAACACCACGTTTCCTTCTTTTTTTTTTATATTGACAACCTTCTACGTGGTCGCACGGGACTTGCCAAGCACACTGCCTAACAACGTCGTTGGGCTGCACTCTTCGCTGCTTTTCTTGGCCTTCAGATACAGTGATGTTGCCCTAACTGATCAGGCGAAAATACGATCTCGCATGTCATGGTGGGCACTCATATACGATAAGTTTAAAATTAGCCTTTTATCAAAATAAAGAAAAAAGAATTATGCTAAAACCATATTTGTAAAGTTTTATAGCACCATAAAAATTTCACTAGGATGATATTTGCATTTTCTCATAAAAAAATTCACATATCTCATTTCTTTTGAATAATGAATACTCACTATATAAGTTTTATGATCTTTTATTCTTATTTGAAGATCATTTCTACACAAGATTGCTTAAGCGTCGCATATTCGAAAGGTTGTATCAAATGCTGTGAATTGAAGGTTCATGATCAATGAAATGATATCAATCTCGAAAAGCATAAAAAGGTGCCCAAGATTTCAAGGGTGAGTTCAAATAGGTCTCAACTTTTTTTTTTTTTTTTTGTCAAACTATAAATTTTGTTAGGTTAGCCATTGACAATATTTGAACCTGCGTCGTCATGCAAATGCTCAACTCATTTCCACCACTGTGGTAAAGGGCCACTTGCAATAAGTCTCAACTTTTTAAAACATTCTAAGTAGCTACCTAATGTTTTAAAAATTAGACATTTGTTAAGTCATTAGTGATAAAGTCACTGAGATTAACTCATGATGTGGACAAATATACTAATGTTTGTTTTCACTCATTCGTCATTTATGGAACTTTAAATGCTCGAATCACTATCTTCATAGATAATGCGACAGTGAAAACTCATTTCAATATTTTTTATGACATCACTTAATGCTAATGACCTAACAAATGTTAAGTCTTTAAAACCTCAAGTACTCATTTCAAAATTATGCACTTTTCACTTTTTTTTTTTTTTTTTTTTTGCAAATATTAGTAGCGTAGATTGGGGAGGCCCAATCTTCTTGATTTAACACCAGACCTTCCTTTCCTAGCCCACGCCCAACCCCCGTCGGATTATATATTTTCTATTGGGTCAAACAGACCCGATTGTAACATAAGTTGAACCCTTTTTTTATTTCTCCACGTCAAGGACGAAACAATCTCCAATACCAGTTTGCCACGTATAACCAGCAAGCCCTACGATCATCCACGCTGGCAGCATAAGCTCTGATCTGACCCGTCAACCAAGACTGGAATTCTCAAGTCGGCAGGTGGGCCCGTCCACAACGCCTTGTGTCTCCACGTCAAGGAAATAGAGCAGGCCCAATAAAATCCATCCACGTATTCCCAAACAAATCAGAGAGCGTTGGTTCGTCCACGCTGGCAAAACCAAGCCAATCGCCGTTAAACGACGCTTGCCCAGTCTAAACGGCAGGAGCTCTATATATGATCCGAAGCCGTGAGTGACGTTTGGAAAGTAGCACAAACACTGAAACAGATAAATCTCAGTGAGCGAAGTTACTAGAACTTCTTCTTCGAAGTGTTTTCGAGTTGCAACGATGAGGAAGTGGACGATCCCTTCCGTTCTGCTTCTGCTCTGCCTTCTCTCTCTCCTTCCCGATCAAGGTACGCCTAGGGTTTCTGCAGATCTCGATTAGTTGAATTGTGAGCGATGCATTGGTAAGAGTAAATGTTTCTGAATTCGAAGTTTGTATCGGAGATTTGATGTTGATTAGGGTTTTCTGGCGATCTGTGTTTGTTCAGGTCGGAAATTACAGGCCAATGCGGAGGCTAATTCGACGAGCTCGTAGATCCGCCGAAGGTTGAGGAGAAGATCGGCGCCGTTCCC